AGGTTGGGGGGAGGGGATATTAGATGGAGTGACTCATTACTTAAAGTAATCCAGTGATAAAGCCTGTTGTGAAACACTATTTTTGCAGAGTGAATAATGACCTCTTATCTCTCTGGTAAATATAGATTTTCATACATTGTATTAGCATAAAATGGAGTATACCCCCATATGTCTGTGTGTTCTCATTTTAGTTGATGGTCTACAAATGAACCATGAGGAAATTAACGCTCTTCTTGCCTTTTTTTATTCCTTTTGAATATTTTCTACTTCTCTTTATAACATATCACAGTGAGGCAGAGGCATGCTATCTTGTCTACATTAAGGACTTGTCTTAGACTAGTCTATTCATCCAGTCACAGGCCTGGCACATAGTAGGTGTGGAATAATAAAAATGCTTATTAATTGTTTGATTTTATGTATAATTTATATTTAAATGTAAGGAAGGGTAGTATTTGAGACTATCATTGTTAATTACTTTCTCATATCACCATTTGATACCAGATTAGTGAAAGTTTCTAATTATCTACAAGAGCAAATACAGCCCTGATACTATAAGAAGAGTAAATAAAATATCTCTCAATTACTTTGACTTTCCTGTTTTTTTCTTTTGAATTTTTTCGAGGGTATGGGAAGAGAAAGAAGGGTGTTAGCATCTTCTGTCTATAGTTTTAAGGTATGTCCAGTCTAGTGCTTTATTCCAAAATTATAATAGGCTTTTTCTGGGGGTTGAAGCAAACTACTTTGTTCTTTTCCTTACAATAACTCCCTTAGCTCTGGTTAACATTATCTTTCATTACCATTCTTCAGCAAATAAAAATATTTTGGAAAATGGAAAAATGTGTGGGCAACCACTTTTTTTTTTCACTTCAGAGTACAAATACATAGAATGAAAATGTTCCCTGGGTGCTCTCCTGAGGGAACTGAAGACAAACCTTAAACAAGTATTTTGCATTTGAAGAACATCCTGTTTAGTTTTAATCAATTTCCCTTCCTATGATGACAATAAGTAGAAAGCAGTAATACGAAAATCAACACAACCTGTTTGAGCTCACTCATTTGGTTGCTGAAATATCAGTCTTTATGTTTTGAGAGATATATTTTAAAGCTCAGAAGTTATCACCAGAGTGAATCAAGTGTGTAAGTCTCTATTCATTGATAAGGTTGAGTATTAATTCTCACATTATCGTAAAATTCATTTTTTGCTCTTAAGAATGACACCTGTTGCCACAGTTGCTACATTACTAATTATTATGCAAATGCCACCATCTCCAGGGGTCCTTTCTAATTCTGCCTAGCCTTCCTTTCTAAGGTTGCTTTTCATCCACTCTATCTCAGATGTATACCCCTTTAGGCAGCTCAGTAGCACAATGGATAGAGTATCAGACCTGGAGTCAGCAAGACCTGAGTTCAGATTCTATCTCAGACACATAATGAGCCATGTGACCCTGGGAAACTCAATCAACCTCTCAGCTTAGGTTTCCTCATCTGTAAGAGGAAGATAGAAGCAATCTATTTGGGAGGATTGTTACAAGGATTAAATGAGATACTGTATGTAAAGCACTTTGTAAACTTTAACGTGCTACATAAATGCTATCATTATAATCATCATCATCATCATCATTTATATTCTCTTCTCCATTCTAATGTAAACTCCTTGAGATCAGGGACTTTTTTTTTTGCTTTTTTTGCATCCCTAGTGCCTGGCACATGGTACTTAATAAATGCTTATTGATTGATTAGATTAGAGAGCTGTTATTGTTTTGAGAGATATTTTTCTGAGTCTTAGCTTAACAGGTGAAATGAGTTCCAAATGATTTCCTTGTACTTCTTTTTAACACTCTAGTTGTACTTGGATGGATCTATGATGTCATTGGTGTGGTTACTTTCTGTACTAGTGAAGATTGGAATCCCTCCATACCTTAGCAGTCTATGTGATTCTTATTCATAGCTTTGTATAAATCCTCCCTAGACAAACTGTAAAACATTCTCTAGGCTGTACCTTAGTTCCTTCAATGTTTTCAGGACTACCATTGTAGCTGCCAGCTGGTCATCTGATTTTTTTCATATTCTCACTGAATTACTGGTCTACCTCCTTTTCCTTTAAGATCTAGAAAACACTGTGACTTAGCTTACTACTCTGCTCTAGAGTTTATAGTCCCTTATTCAGACTGACATTTATTTGATGCCACTTTATTAAATATTTGGTAATATACCTAAACCAATAGAGAGTAGCTTATTAAAGTATTACTTCTATGAAGGATAGGAGGCACCTCAGATACAGACCAGGTTGGAACATGGAAAGTTAACCCCTTAAGATTTGTTTTCAGTTAATCACAGTACACAGTGACAATACAACACGAGAAAGAGAGAGACAGAGACAGAGACAGAGAGATAGAATGGACAAGTGTTTATTAATGCTTACTATGTGCCAGGTACTGTGTTAAGTACCGAAGATACAAATAATATATAGCTAAGTCAGCTAGGTAGTTCAGTGGATAGAGTGGCAAGCTTGAATTCAGAACAGTTCAGATTTAGGCTCTGACATTTTCCTGGACAAGTCACTTAACCTCTATTTGCCTCAGTCTCTTCATCTGTAGAATGAAGATAATAATACACCTACTTCTAAGGCTTATTGTGAAGATCAAATGAGAGAAGTGTGAAATGCTTAGCGTATTGCCTGTGCTATATAGATGTTAGTTATTATCATCATCATCATCATCTTTGAATAAAAGCAAACAAGACAATTCTTGCCCTCAAGGAGCTTACATTTTAACTGGGAAAAATCAACAAACACATAAAAGAGTGGTGCAAAATGGGGCAGGGAACTTTCTGTACAGAAGCATGGTGTAGTAGCCATGTTGCAGGGATGGCCAGGAAGTGTCTTGGAGGGCTTGGGTCCTGGCTAGAGAAGGCAAAGGCTCACCCATCGGAGTCAGGAATTCAGACGTGGAGCCCACGGTTTCATGATGGGAAGAAGATGAGGATATGAGCCAGAGAGCAGATGACACGATATGGAGATAGAAAACAAAAATTAAAAAGAAACAGCACAAGGAAGAACCTAAAAAGCAGGTCTCTAAGCCTTTCTTTTCTCCTAGTTTCTTTCTTCTATTTTCTTCAATTTCCTCATCTGTAAAGTGGGGATAATAATAGCACCTACCTCCCAGGGTTGGTGTGAAGATCATATGAAATAATAATTGGACAAACAGCAATCCAACTGGAGGTAGAGGAGGAATGTCCATCAGCAGATGAGCTCTGAGATAGTAGGAAAAGGGCTATTTATTTAGAGCCTAATGTCTTTCATTCCTTTTATTTATTTTTTTTTCTTTTTTGGAGAGGTGGGGTGGAAAGGCAATCAGATTTAAGTAACTTGCCCAGGGTCATCCAGTTAGTAAGTGTCTGAGGCCAGATTTGAACTCAGATCCTCCTGACTCCAGGGCCAGTGCTCTATCTATTGTACCACCTAACTGCCCCATTCCTTATATTTGCCTGAAGAACAAATCTCTGTGGGCCTACTGGACTACAGAATGTGTAGTGTATGGGAGTGGAGTGTGGATGTCCCAGGTAACTTTCAAGATATCTCAGAGGCTGATATTTTAGTTAGAGAGATATTCTGTGGTGTCCAAGTTCAATCAATCTGATATACATCCAGTGATTACCCCAGCAATCCAAATGAAATATGTTGCAGAGGTGACACGCAAGACAGTACTAAAATTCTCCCAACCACCTCTGTGTCCTGCCACAAGTAAGTTGCTGCAGAGAATGATACAAGATCAAATAGCGGTTTAAGCTTAATTTTCTATGACCACCACCATTATTAGCTCTGTTCTCTGATTACAGGAGTAGGGACTTGAGTTGGTTGCTTAGGAGATCTTGCCCAATATTAATAGCAATTGAATTTTTATTTGTTTCAGTTTAATGTTACTGTAAATTGAAATGGAGGTTGGGGAGGGTCACGAATCCAGAGGACTTCACCACAGGAAGAGTAGTAGGAGCAGGGCTGCTGGACACCAGTCTTGCCCTGCCGAAAGCAGGAACCTGTTGGCCTTTTTTTTTTTTTTAATATTCTCTCAAACAGGTTAGCAAATTTTACATGTGTTTATAATGGAATTTGAATGACACAAAATTTTAACATAACATGTAGTCTTATGTCTTTAACATAACATGTAGTTCCCAGTCTCCATGGTTTTGATTTTTTTTTATTTCTTTACTCATTCTTTCTCTTTATTAAGTTAGTCATTGACTACTTTGAAGACCGTTTTATTTTGACTTTATATATCTTCCTTCTGAACCTTAATTTATATTCGCACCATTTGAAATGAAAAGTATTTATGTGTTGTCTTGAAGAAACATTTTCAATATTGAAACATATAAGCATGTTTTTTCTCTAGATGTAAATTTTCTGTAATTAACTTAGCAGTAAGGTTTACTTCCACATTGGTTTACTTCCACAGTCATTTTCCTAGTGTTCTCAGTGAAGATTACAAGGTATTGGGTAGCTTTCTGAATCTCCTCAACCTGTGTTTTGCCAATTTTTTAATTTTTTAATTTGTTAAACTTCTTATGAAGGCCTTCCTGAAGGCCTGGGATCACCCTGGTTGTGTCATCCCACATCTTCAAAAAAACATCCTGAAAAGAAAAACAAAAGCCCAGAATTACAGATTAGCCTTAAAATACCAAAGTCCTCTTCCCAAGGCTTTTTCATTACTCAGAGCCTGTGTCTGGGTAAGCTTTTGGAGGATGAACTTTCCAAACTTTCATCTGTTATAGGACAAGCATGTTAATTTGTTAGAACCTTCTCATATCGCTTCTTTGAATGGGATTTCTGGGTTTGTACAGTCAATTTTAGCTTATGGCAGAGAAGATAGGTGTATTTTCCCACATAAAGAATGGGTTTAGAAACTTTGCAACATTGACTGTTCAGGAAAAGATACCATCTTTATAATTGTTATCATGAATATAGACAAAATAAAATCATGATTTCCTTTGTAATTATCTTACAGACATCCAAGGAAGACCTTCTGCAGGCTGACTTCGAAGGTGCTTTAAAGTTTTTCAGAGTCCAGCTTCCAAAGAGGTACAGGGCAGAAGAAAATGCCCGGAGGTTGATGGAACAAGCATGTAACATTAAGGTAAGATGCCTCAGTTTCATTTCCTGACCTTCACAGTTCGTATCTATTTACTGAATAAAGGTGGAAGTGGAAAAATGGTAAGAGAATATGAAAAGAGATATTATGTTGTTCCTTTGTGAGTTGCTGGATTTTGACTAGATTGATGAAGAAAAACATGTTACATTTTGCCTTGGTTTTCTGATGGTTTGCTTTATCATAGTAGGATATACTTTTTTTTTTTAGAGTGAAGTATATCTATATATCTATATATAGATATATAGATATACTTCACTCTAAAAAAAGTATATATATAAATATATATAAAAAGTATATATATATATAAAGTATATATATATATATATCTCATAAAAACACTTAGGTTTGTAAAGAGATTTCTCTCAGGTTGGTAGCTATGTGGTAGCTTTTTGTGATGGATGGCAGGTCCAGCTAGTTACAACAGGAAATCAAAGACTTGCCCAATCGGTTAGGGCCTTAGGGCCTTGAGTGGGCTGCTGTGATGGTGGTTTCCATAGCAAGCACACTTGATATTTCGCTTTCACCATCTGGCTTAACGGTGTTCAGGGCAACAAAGAAGAGCATGCCTATGCAGTTCTTCACACTCTGTGAAGATCTAAAAAGGTTTGAACACCTAATCATCCAATCTCTGCCTCCATCCATCCCATGTGCATTGAAATTATTGCAAGCACATTGATCGGGGAAATCTGATTACATTTAAAAACATACACACACACTAATATTTTAAACCTGGCCTAGAATGGGTTTCATATATTTATTTATCTAGGTATCTGGAGTATTAAGTGACAATGAGGATGAGAATGAATTCCTCTAGACAGTGATGTTCATGCCTTGAACTTTAAAATAATGGGACATCAAGTTCTCACCATGCCATATCCCTCTGCCTCCACATAAGATGTGCCTGAACTGTCACTAGACAGAGTTCTCCATTTACCTGTTAGACGTTCCATGAGATGTTTTTAATAGTGGATCATACAATGTTAGTCCTTAAAGGGACCTTGGAGAGTATCTGACTCATTTTCCCACCCAACTTTACACAGACTTGATAAGGTTTGACATCGTATGTAAACATGCATACGTGAACACATACACTCCTAGGGTGTGTGTATGTGTATATGTATGTAAACATATGCACATTGATGGATGGATGAATGGATGGATGGATGTATTCACACACATAAAGGATGTCCCAGAAATCTTAGAAAGTCAGGACTGTAGGACTTTTGGATCTCTCTGTATATGTGCAGTGGTGTCTCACATGAACCATAATATTTTGATTGCTGTTTTTTCTTGTCAGTTACTTAACTTACTCTCAAAATAAAGAAATGTCCTTTGTTTCTAACAATTAATTTATTGCCCATTTCAGTTGACCACTTTTTACTTTTAAGTCTTTGGTAATACTGATATCGTCATCATCTTAGCCTGTGAACTTCTAGTTCAGATCATCCCATCAATTGTCTAAAGGCTAGCAGTCTTCCTGGAGGTCTTTTGACCTTCTCTGGGTACCACTGCAGCACCTGTGTTGTCTGTCACTTATCTACTCATTCATTCTACAGACCAGACTCACTTCCCTTTTTTGATTATACATTTTCTAGGTAACATCTTCTATACTACATTTTGCACACAAATTATCATTAGCAAAATACTTCAACCTGTGTACACCTACCTTATGCCTCTCAGTTGCTTTTTGGGTCATCTGTAGTTTCAGTTCTGTGGGAATAATCAAGGATATCCTGTGGGACAAATTAAAGCATTTATCTCAAAAGTGAAACGGTGGGAAAATAAAGGGCTACTGGTAAGAATTTTTAAAAGGCATATTTTCAAAGAAAATTTTCCTCCAAGCGATAGAGGATTAAAAAGACTAAAAAAACCAGAAAGATGTATCCAAGATTGCCAGAACTGCAGGGGACTGCTTTTTCACAGTAGAACGGATGAGTCTTTATAGGGAGCACAGGTAGCCAGTGATGCCAAGTGAGGAAAATAGAATTCACAAGAAGCAGAAAAAGTTAATGTTTTTGAGCACACCTAAAATATGGTTTGAAAAGAGAATGCCCAAGGTAGAAGTGTTATATGAAGGCTGGGTAATTCATTAAATTATAACCAATCATAAATATGATTTTTATGGTTATACTTTTCCCTAAGATATTTGGAGTATTTCCCACAGGTTATATCTTCTTTTTACATGTAATATTCACAAAAAAATTGATCAGACGGGGAAATTTAGGGAGGGAAAATGTGAGGGGCATACCCTCCCCAGGGACTGAGTGGAGCCTCCTCACATTTTCTGTTATTATGTGAGGTCTGGCTCCTGCAACGTGAAGAAGACATCAAAGGCAGAAGCGCTGCAGTTAATAATGAAACATGTATGTAGGTAAGGATGAGAGTCAGAAATCACCCATACAGTGCTATATGCCAGTTATTTCAAAGAGATGATGATTGCTTTATAAGAAAGGGATTTACTTCTCAATGAGGGTGAGTGGGGAGGGAGGAAGGGAGAGAATTTGGAACCCAAAGTTTTAAAAACAAATGTTAAAAATTGTTTTTATATGCAACTGAGAAATAAGATGTACAGGCAGTGGGGTATAGAAATCTATCCTGCCCTACAGGAAAATAGAAGGGGATAAGAGAAGGTAGGAGGAGGTAATAGAAGGGAGGGCAAATTGGGGGAAGGGGTATTTAGAATGCGCCATCTTGGGGGAGGAAGGGGAGACATGGGGAAAAAATTTGGAACTCAAAATCTTATGGAAGTGAATGTTGAAAACTAAAAATAAATTAATTAACTAAAGGGGATTTAGAATAGACAGGCAGCCTGGTATAGTGGAAAGAACCATGGTCAGAGAGAATCAGAAGAACTGAGTTCTTGTCCTGGCTCTGATGTTGGTTAAGTTACATACTTTCTGCCAGTTTCAGTTTCCTCATCAGTAAAATAAGGATAGTCATAACTCCAGAACCTCTCTCTTAGTGTTTTTGTGAGAGTGAACTGGGTTCACATTGCAAAACTTAAAGGGATATAGAAACATCAACTATTATTATTAGAGGTGCAAAATAAAGATGATGTCATACTTACAAGTAGGCAAATATTTTGATTGCCAAACTCCTAAGATTAATTTCAGGATTTCCATAAAAGTGACCTTAGAGATCACCTGATTTGACTCTCTCATATTAGAAATTGTAAAACTACCACTCAGAGGCTTGCTCAAGTGACTTGCTCAAAAAGTTAGTTTTTTTATTAAAATGATTTCTTCTGTCATAACAAAAGTCAGAAGGAAGACTTGGGTTCAGATCTTGCCTCTAACATATACTGGTTTTGTAACCCTGTGCAAGTCACTAACCTCTCAGAACTCAAGGCAACTTCTTAAAAGTTGCAGAAAAGGTGTTGATTTAGAGTCAACACCAGGACTTTCCTCACCCAAGACTTTTCTGTATTAATAAAATTAATGTCCTTTGTCTTTCCTACTCATTGTCCATCTCTTAAAACTGTCCTAATAAAGAGGACAGGCTCAAACTTGTCAAGATTCCAAAGTTACTGTTTATAACAAAAGCCCTTATTTTTATAAGTGTCTGTGAATGCAAATAAGCCTATCTTTAATTGTTGATTAGCTCCATTGTCTCACTGTATGCATGTTTATTTTTATGCTGTTGAACTGTGCTTTTTCCCGTCTATTATAGGCTAGTTATGTGAATGACAGATTATTTTAATTTCTCTTTTAAATTTAATTGTAGTCCTTTATTTGAAGTTATGTGGAAATTTGAAAAGATGATTTAAAGGAAGAGTATTTAATAATTAGAAAGTATTGTCTCCAATATTTTAGATTCTTTTTTATGTTTAATGAAGTCCCACATAGGCATTCTCCAAAATAGAAATCTGAAATTTAAGGGGCAACCATTACAGAGGGTTGATTTCTCTTGGGTAGAGGCCACATCAGTGATAACAGCAATTAAAAGTTGATAAAATATACAGCTCAGCATAGTCTTTCAGTAACTTTTGCAACATAGCAACTTGTCAAATATTAAACCTAATATGTTTTCTTCTCCTGGTAAACTCATCTCTGAGCAAAATAAATTTTGAAAAATCTGTAATTAATGTATGAAAACAAAATATTTCCAACTAAAGATCTCATGCTTGAAAGATTGGTTAGTGATAACAGAAGGCATTTGTAAAGAGGCAGAGGAAAATTCTAATTTTATCAGGAATTTAGAAGGTGGAACATGTAACCAAGGAGGAAGGGAAGAAAAGTCATTGAATATTTGTAGCTGTGAAGAGGAGGCAACAGGCAACTTTTTGTGTTCCAAGGAATAAAGAATGTGGATCCACAGGTATGTCACCAGGAGGAAAAAATGCACAGTACAGGTCAGAGGAAGAAGAGGAACGGGGTGGGTTAGGGGTGGAATTGGGGCGTCTCTGATTCCCTTCAGAAGGCTAGCCATTTGTTGACCTGACATGAGCAGTAGAGATCTGCTGCCTTCCTGGAGTGTGCACATAAGGTATAATAGAGGGTTTCCCAAGGCTTGTCAGAACACAGACCAGTACTTACCCCTGGTGCTTTATGCAGGGACAAATGTGCAGGAACCCAGGAAGCATTGTTAGCAAGTTCTCGGCAAGAAATTGAAGATCTTACAGACACATGCATTGTTTTCATTACTGCTGCTGATTGAAAGATGGAGCTTTAGAAGAGATCCAGTTTAAGGAGTGAATAGCCAGTTTATGGGATCCTGGATCCAGAACTGAAAAGCGTCTCAGAGGCCATCTAACCCATCACCCAAGTTTTATAAATGAGGAAAGAGGTCAGGGAGGTTATAACTTGCTCAGGGTCACATGGGGAATAAACAACGGTGATGGGACTTGAACCTCGGCCCTCTGACTCCAGAGCCAATATTCTTTCCACTATACCACATAATATTGGGAAGAAGTTATATCTGAGAAGAGCGTCTGGATGTTTGCACCATAGCTTAACACATAGTAACAACAGACTCTTGACCAGGGT